TCGGCTCTCTTCGGCTCCGCTCGTGACGTCACCGCGCATGGCTGCCAGGATGCGGGGTGATTACTCGCCTATTATGCGAGCGTTACATTACCGCTACGTGCAGATGGGGAGGTAGGGGTCAACATGTCGCAATATTATAAAGCTAGTATCATCTGCAAAGAATATCGGTAAGGCTTTGCCTTTTTCTAATTTAGGTAGATCAAATTATACCACAGCTGCTGTCTTCCAGATTCTTGCAAGTTCATTGCTGCCTAGTCACCATGTCATTAACACAATATTGTGTTAGCTTGTAACAAAGTTCAAGTAATGTTTCTTTTAGATCTAATGCAGTTATTTGAAATTGAGAAAATTTTCCTTGATTTGCTGCAGGTATATTTCTAGAGATTGGCTTTAATGTCAGTTTAGCAAGATGGATGTTTATTCCAATTTACAGTGATTTCTCCTCGTGTTCATACTGACAGTGTTCAGTCTATATCCTGTTTTATGTGTCCAGTGTTAGTGGTTTAAATCCAGTATTATATTAGGAACAAAGTATTTTTCTATGGACGTGAACTAAGGCAGGATTTCAGTGTTCCTCAAAACGTTTTTTAACTTGTAAGTGATTAAACAGCTCTAAAATTTTTGCTTTTTAAATATTTTCTTCCATCTGTCTTCCTTCTTGTAGAATGCAAATCATAAGCTGGAATAGATGTAATATGTTTTTCTAATACAAATAATATTCTTTCATCATCTGCCCCTATTTGCTTCATTTAAATGCTTTCCCCTCTTGTCAGTAGGGGATGTAGTGCATTGTGAACCACTGATTTTCCTTTGTAGAATTTCAGAACAACAGATGGTATATTGCATCTATAGCATTCCCTGTGAATATAGCAGACAGGTAGACAGCTAGCTGCACAGCTCCTCAAACATAAGCACAGTCTCAAAGAGCATCTTGTAGAAAAATCAAAATTACACCAACATGCCTATGAAAAAGGTTACAGGTTAGGTTCGGATGAAGCTTAAATTTTGGAAATTGAAAGTAACAGCAGGTATAGGAAATATAAGGAATCGGCCCCTGTGGCATGTTTAATCAATCTGATCAGCCAACCCAGTTTGAATATTTCTCTCATGTGGATCTCCCTTATCAGCAATAAGGTTAGCAACTCAAAGGGAAGTTCAACATAATCTGACTGATTCTTCATGGGTATCTATGTGAGTTTAAGTCCCAGGGTTCATTCCTCCCACACGTATGTGACCCTAGTGGTGGGTAAAAACGTTTTTACAACGTGAAAACCTTCAAATTCGTCCTATGCATTGGTGTTCATGGGTTGGTTTGTTGGCTCAGTTTGCTGCATTTAATTTCAACTTCATTTTCTGTCCTACTTCCATGCACTATCATAATTTTTATTGTACAGTTTTGTGTTATCTCCCATTGACAAATTCTGATCTCAGGTTGTAGTTATACTTACATAGGTTATCTAATGATTGAGGTTACCTGTTTCTAACAAACCCAACAGAGTAGGTGTCTCCCACCCCCTCAACTGAGGATGGAAACAGATCCAGTTTCCAAAACATTGTATTTTTAAGTGTTCTTTAGAATGTAGGATGATGAAACAAAGATTGAAAACCCAGTAATCTTGGGTCTCAGTACTGTTGCTCACTAACGGATGAACTGCTGTCGCACTTCAACGTGCTGTTACAGAGATAACTCTGGGTATATCTGCTCTGGTAAAGGAGAACAGTGAGAGTAAAGGTTTTCTTTAATTTGTCAGAAGCAGATTCGTTAAATTTTCTCTAGTTCTGGTATGTCACATTGCAACAAATTAGATTTAAATTAAATATATGTTTAGTAGCCATATGGTCAAATTCTTTTCCATCTGCTTTTGCTTCATAGATTTGATAACTGCATGGAAGATATTTATATTAGAATACTGGGAAAAATATATATTTTGTAATGTGACCTCTGCTTAGGTACATTTGGTACCGTGTGGTTTCTGAGTGGTTTGGAGTTGGACAGCCCTGTCTTATGGCATCATGTATATGTATTTCCACTATATGTTTTCCAGTTATGTTATATTTTCTATTGTGAATTGTCTCCCATGTTACAACAGGTTTGACTGGTCGGGGAAGCTCCCTATTATGAAAGAGAGGTCAGATGTATTGAACTTGGTCTCCTCTGATGATGGTGTGGCACAGGTAGTATTCATGTGGTGGGACCTTGTGATGGATCCAGATGGGGAAGTTATTCTCAGCTGTGCTCCCATATGGGCCCGTCCTCTGACAGACAATAATGATGTTCTGCCTTGGAGAGATCACTGGATGCAAGCAGTGTACTACCTGCCAAAGGAAGTACCTGTTCAGAAGGAAGAGAAATTGGTGTTAATGAGCCAACATGATGAATATTCGTTTTGGTTCCATCTTTTCAGGAAAGATCACTGGTAACATTGTTTAGGAATTAAATTACCTTATTAAAGGGAAAAACCGACTGAACTTTTTGCCTGTGTTTATTTAGTTAATTAGTTAATTAGAATTAAATCAGAACATCACATGTTTGTCATTGGCCATGAAAGTCAGAAAGCAACTCAGATTGCTGCTGCCATAAGGAAAAGGGAGTTCGATTAGTCTCCACCAAACAAGACATAAATCATATGAAAGATAAAAGGAAAGTAAAGTATTTTTATACTTATTAAACCAGATATATTGTCATCATTGCATGTAAAATAAGAATTCTATGTATAATCAGTGTTATCCATTAGGGAAACCATTGAATTCTGTAACTTTGATCCATTTTGTGTTTTGGTTTTTTTTTGTGCCCTTGTGACATTTTTAAGTTATTTGCTTTTTAATTCTTTACTCCATGTTTGTGGGCATTGTCCAGGGAATGTTATTCTGAATCAGATTTGTATAAGAAACATGTGACCAAAAGATGAGAAAGGTAACAGAAAATACTGCACCTGTTTAAGACTTCTTCTGAAAAGAAGCCATACTTTGTATTACAGATGAAATATTATTTTTGAGCATCATATTTTGTTTGTCAGTTAATGTGTGTGCACATGCGTGATTCCAAGTTCAAAGCCTCCTTTGCCACAAAGAATGAAAATATAACTAGGAAGAAACTGTTGGTGTAATGACAGTCAGTTGAAAATGGGAGGTAGCCTAACTCATAAAGTATCTTGCATGTCAGATATGTCTTAGACAATAAAAATGTTCAACTTATTCACATATAATGACAGTTGTATGTGTGTAACTTAACTTTGTTCCTGTTCAGGCTGGAAGATGGAAATTGTGAGCATCCGATATGTGGCTGTGGATTACATGTTGCATTTGGACGTACACGTATTGGTGCCATGAATGATGCGGACCGGAACTATAAATATGTGTCTGTGCTACGTGAATATGTGACATCAGACAGTATATGCCTCTGCCTGAGTGATGGATCATTATTAGGACCTCTTGCTGCACGTCTTGGTGCGAAGAAAGTATATTGCATAGATGGCAAGGCCTTGACACGACATGTAATTCAGGACTATATCAAACACAACAGCCTGCAAGACAGAATGGTTGTTCTGAACAATATACAAGAGCTAGAAGCTGTAGTGGAACCACATAATAAGGTACAGGGTTAGAAGGAAATAAAACAAATTTTGAAAGTCATAAGACCAGCACAAATTGGGATCACACAATAGTAATGTAAATAGGTAATTGTAATTCCGTTGATACTGGCCTTCTGTGTTTAATGAAGCTAATTTACATTTATGTGGGCAAAAATCATGGTACAGAAGTTGTAGGTGCAACTTCTAACATTTAAATTTGTTTTTCAGATATTCCCTTCTTTCTTGTTCTTTTTATATGAGTTCTCATCTGTGTAAAGTACCTACTAAATTGCTCCATCCATCTGTATGCATGTAAGAACTGAAGAATCTCCAGACTGACTTACATCAAATTTGATGCTGGGGAGTTTTATTGCAGTTGCTCAACAGATTGTAATTTTGGTTGCAGTTGGGCAGAAAAGATGAAAACTTTCCATGATGTTCAGTGTATATTTTGCATTCATTATGAGTAACTTGCTAAAAATTTATCAGATTAAAAAATGTTTTGAATATAAGTTGCAGAGGAAAAATGAAGCACATACTTTATGTCCATTGCACCTTTATTATAAATCTTATGGGTAATTAAACAGAAGGAGTGAATGTTTCCTATACTGTATATTCAGTAATGGTCTTCGAAAAAACATTCCAAGATTATTGAAGTCTCTTATTTTCACCAGTAATTAAGTGAAGTTCTTCTTTTATTGCTAGTGGGGTGGGACTAAGTCCCTTGTACTGCGACCACTTCTGGCCTATTGTACCAGCCCCAGATTATAGGTGAGGGCGATTATGGAGCAATTAGTGAAATGAAGATTGACAGGGGAAACCAAAGTACTTGGAGAAAACCTGACCAGCGCCACTTTGTCCACCACAAATCCCACTTGACCAGACCCGGGATCGAACCCGGGCCGCCGAAATGGGAAGCCAGAGACTAACCGCTTGAGCTATGGCACGGCCATAAGCTTTCTTCCATTTTAATTTATTAGTCTACATATATATTTAATTAAAATATAATTGTTTTGCTATAACAGTTAATTTACTAAAATTTAAATTTTCACCTTTTTGTTTCTTTTTGACATGTTCACAATGGAGAATTCCAAAAATATGCTGATTAGTTTTGTCATGTTATTGTTTATGCAAGGACTCTGAACACAACAGATTTTGCAGTGCTTTTTTGTCCATTACGCATAATCACAAACAATTGGCGCATACCAACCAATTTGTCAAAAGTTGCGCATCTGCCAGTGCATTGTATGTTTCGAACTTGAACATGAGAGTACTGGGTATCAGGTTTTCTTTAGAAAGAAGGAGCTCTGGGATTTTTATGGAACTTGATAGTGGAGAGTTCTAGTAAAATTTGTCAGAACACTTCAGCTCTGGCTAAAGTCTGACAACAGTAATGGATACTTTACATGAATACCTACAAGTGTTTAACATGCATCTTGATCATAACTTACTAATATCCATTTAAATCACAAAAGGTTTTCAA